GGGCTGAGGGGAGTAGAAGGGGGGAGAGTGAGGCCTCGAGGAAGGAGGCGATGGGGGGCGGAAGGGCGGAGAGGGGGAAGCCACCCTTGACTTGGAACTACACCAAAAGTATGAATGAAGCAGTAACACTGCTATTTAGAGTTGCTATAGTTTTATTTATGAACAGACCCGGGCTTTTGCAGCACTGGTGCTTGTGTTGCTGGGGAAGACCCTTCATCCCTCCTCCCCCTCGCCCTCCGTGGGCGCCCCTATGCATGCACACTAAACAGACAATAACTGTCAAATGCCAAAAATCGCTGCAACCAACGTGTGGTTGCATTTCAGTAGCAGTTATTAAAATAGGCTTCCAAAATTGACTGTTCGGAATGTCTTGGCATTTACAAATTGCTTCAGGAAATGGGGAAAAAAAGGCGAGTGTTGTAAATGCAGAAAAATATAGGTATGAAAAAAAACTCACGCTTTCCAGTCTTTGTAATAATTGCTGCACCGATAAGAACCATCCCGAAAAATCCTGGAAAAAATTCCCCGCATAAATTCCAGCAATATCTCTTACGACCAATGATGATACGCTAACGCAATAAAACAATCTCAAAAAGCAGTGAAATTCATCAAAAATAAAGGAAAATAGGAGAATTTCTGCGAAAAATTCTTTTTAAGATTCACGAAAACATACAAGCAAGCACTGGCTGTGACGGAGAAAGCAATGAAACGAAGGACAGTTTGTGTGTCCCTTTGGTGACCATATAAACAATCAGACTTTTCGTCAGAGAATAGTGGCGACCAAGATATCAATAATTATGATCATGCAAACAAATACCGCAAATGAATACAGCCCTATTCACATTCGTTTTTATTACACTTATAAATGGCTGGTTATGTAGCAAGGATGTCAGACAACCGATGGACGAAGCGGATAATGGAGTGGTACCCACGCTCGATGAAACGAACACTGGGGAGGCCCCCAGCACGATGGCGAGATCCAATCATGCGCCTTTATCGCGTCACCTGGTCTCGTCAGGCTCAGGATCGATCGAAATGGAAAAGTTGCCAGCTGCATCGATGACGTGATATTAGAGATCGATGAAACAACAGCTGTTCAAGGTATTCGAGGTATAAATGGCTGGAATTTTTTAGCTCAAAAATTTAAGTGTAAGAGCACCTGTAATTCACCTTCTACATAAAAAGAACAGGCACTAGTAATTTGTCTGAATGCTCGTAATAAAAGCTAGCATAAATCACTCGTTGTATTAGCTGGAGCAAAAGCCAAAAGTAACTGCCAGTTGGCAAAGATGACGATGGCTCCCTCTTCCGCGAGTTTCTTAGAAGCAAGCTAGTGGCGAGTTTGATTCCCCGATCAAGCGCCAGTACCAATTTACCATCGAAACGAATGGACTAATCGTACAGTGATTGCTTGCTCCTATTGTTTTTTAGCGCAAGCGGACCCTTGTTTCCCTGTGCAAGCGCAGCGCTACCCCCTCCTTCGTCCAGTCTATCAATTTGGCTAAAACAGATTCAAGAATCTGTCGTAATTTTAATTTTAGTTGGTATATGTTTATGAAAGATGTAAGGAAATAAAAAAGGGAAATGTGAAGTTAAGATTAAAATCTGAATGGGAATGTTTCGGTAGCATCAAGTCGCATACATTCCTATTCAGTGTTGCAACTGAACCTCGTCAGTGTGACGGTTGCAGCGAAAGTAGCATGCAGTGTGCTAAAAAAATGAAAAAGGAAAG